ATGTAAGCCCTTCTTCGCCCCAAGGACAAGTTCTTTTTGAATATTTTTTTACCATTTTGTAGAGAAAAAAGAGTTGTTGTATATGGACTGATCAAAATGACCCCCTTTGACTCATGTTGACTTTATAAAACTTGAGTTGCTGGGCATTATATTATATCCACATAGCTCATTTCGTTCAGCTTTCAATTCTCTATCTTCTGATACATACCATGAAAAATTTCAATGATCTGTTGATACGTAAGCTGGCACATCTTTTACAGAGTATTTTTTCTTTTTTTTCCGAAAACGTCTGATAGTGATAAAAGTCGGTATTGATTAACGTTTTAAAGGAAGGGTATTAGAATCTAAAATTTTGGGGTTGGTGGTCCTAGACATTGATGCGTTGAATGAGCAAAAAAAAATTAAAAAAAAATTTTTTATGCAGTGCCTCGTGTATTGGAATGGTCCTCGATGGGCTCATGGAAGCTCTCTTATTTATTTTCTCGTTTGTTCTTCTCTCTCTTCTCTTTTAGCTTGTCAGATTTTGACAGCAAAGGCCATTATGGGCATCGGACTGATCTATTACTATTATCGAATATTGTTCACCTACTTCCCGATTAGTTCCACACTCGGTCCGATGATGATTCGACTTCGATGCATGGTTAGTTACTTTTACTTTTTTGTGTCTTTTCAAACTATTGTATTAAACGATATTTAGATTATGAATGATTTCGTTACATTTTTACAATTGTTCGTTATCTTCATGATCTCGTCAGGTGTAGCTATTACTGCCGTTCTCTATCCTCATTATCCACTTGGGTTGGATTTGTTCACCAAAGCATTTGTATTTCGTGGTCTCATGGCATTGTTCACTGGTGACATGGCTGACTTAAAAAATCAACATCAATCATGTTCGATCAATGCAACGAGTGACATCGACCGTAAATATGCCTGTTTGAGATTATCTCATGGTCCCTCGTTTAAATGTAAGTTTCGAATAGATAATGAAAGAATTCTCTGTAATAAAAATCAAACATTTGTTTATTATTCTTTTTTACAGATGATCGTCTCTCTACGTACAATCGCTATGGAATATCATCACTTCAATGTAACCAAACATCATGGATCGCATGGTTTCTTCTTATTCAGTATTTCTTCTTGGCCAAACGATTTCTCATTTCCCTCTTGACAGCCATGTTTGGGTATGGTATATTTGTATTAACATACTAAATCAAGAATTACATGTTTCACTTTTCGTTTTCTTTTCGGCTAGTTTGACAGGAGCACGCATACAGAGTCAATCGGAGCAAATTTGGATGTATAATCGATATGAAATTATGATAGAATATACAGAACGACCTCGTCTACCACCTCCCTTTATTGTTATCTCATACATCGGTAATAAGTTTTATTTTCCTATTTCTTTTTGTATCTAGATATTATGCTGACGTTTGCTTTTGTTGATTGTTAGGCATGTTCATATCCAATGCTGGTCAATGTATGATGTTCAACTTGAAGAAATATTCAGATAAGAAAAGTGCTCGACAAGCACGGTTACAATTGTCATCACGTAGTCAAGGAGGAGGTTCCGGCTATGGTGCGAGTTTAGCAACACCTCTTCGTGCTGTTGACATGTCAAATGCATCGAATGATGTCAAATTGAATACAGGTGACTTAATTGATGATTCATCACCGGTACCGATTGAAGATCGTTCGTTAGTTGGACGATTACTCACTTGTAAACCATGTCGACAAATGATCAATCACGAGAAGATTAAGAATGTAAGTACATAGCTTTCGAGAGCAGATCCCTCTATTTCCTTTCTATTTGTATCGTTTTCAGTTAGTGATGATGCTTTCAGTAGGTAACTATTAGTGGATGTTCCGAGCGATATCTCTACTTTGTATACGTATAAGATCTATCATAGAAATTATTTGTTTTCAAAGGACGAGGGCGGATAAGATTGCTTTCTCACCCCTTCCCCTCCCCCCCCCCCCCCCCCGCACAAAAAAAACATTTCGATTTCTTGTGCTGAAATCAAATGAAAGATATTTTCTAATGATAGTTCGATCGTTAGTTTTCGAACACCTCACAATCAATTTGTTGACCGACACCCGTACCCCATTACGGGTGTTGACCAAAACAATTTTTCCTCGTCCACGTACGGAGGGAGGGAGCACAGTGGGCAGCCATTCGGAAAAAACGGCTAAAATCGATGTCGAAATTTGAAGCTGAATACTAGGTTTTAATACAGCCTGTCCCTAATAATACCCAATGGCGCTCTCTATTTCGATTGAAACTCGGTCTAGTTTTCCGTTGCCACCACGATGCTCGTACTCATATGTGTTTCAAGAGATTAAGCATTCAAATTATGAGCGTATTTAATTTCAAGGAAACCAAAAACTGACACTCTTATGATTCGGTTATAAACAGGTCACCTCAAGGTTGCTGCAGGATGCAAGCGGGTTTCCTTCTATTCTCTACGAGTTACTATTTTTGAATTTTTTGAATCACGCTCTAGTCGATGTACTTGTTGCGAGTACTTGCCAAGTTCTTGCTACACGTAATGTGTCAAGTACGCACTACTTGTAGGCAAGTAAATAACGCTTGCCCAGTAAAAACAAAAAGAACTTCTAATTTCTCATGGTATTGGGCGCTAGAATCTTTTTTATCTATTGTTTTGATATACATTTTTCATAGCACTCGGAATCAATGTGATTGCAATGTCTCGTATTCATATTGATATTATGAATCAAATAGCGGTTAAAACCGTCCATGATACCATTATTTTCAGCATAGAAAAATTGCATTTATGTTTTCCTAGTTCTAGCCGATCATTCCGACTCTCAAAACTAACCGTTCACTCTCAGAAATGAATGGAAGATTGAGTTTTCATACTTATCAAGTACTTGGTAAGTACTTTCAAAAAATGGCACGTTTTCATGTACTTTTAACAAGAACATTCGCTAGGGTATGGTGAAGTGGTACAACTAGGTCGCCCAGGAACGCAACGAATTTTCGCTATTAATTTATCACCATCTTACGCGGGCTAGTGTTAGGAATGCACATTTTTTCGCCCAAACTTGCCCAACAAATGAATAAGAGAATTAGAGACCACTCAAGATTCACGATTTCTCGTATGCACAATACACGATAAACAATGTGTAATGAGCAGAATAATGAGAAAGAATCAATACATTCAGTCAAGCTGACTGCTCGAGGGGATCCCAACCTTGCTGATTCGATTGAACATGATTTCAGAATTCTTCGATTATCATAATATCTCAAAATTCATGAAAAATTATGTCTTTTTTAGTTCTCAGCTGATTTTATGATCTTGGATACGATATAATAGAAGTCGAATGTTCAGAATGATGATTTATTAATTGAAATTTCGAAGATTAAGTACATTTTCCCTTTTTGAAAATATACTACTGCGTAGATACAGCATGCACAAGTAAGATTTTGTCCCAATTCGTTGAGGCATTACTGATACTGAGACATTAACAGAAAACAAAAACTTCATATCATCAACTGAAATGGGAAGGATATTTCACTTGGCGGCTACTTAGCATATCCTTCAGCATCTATCACGATATCGTTCTAGATTCTTTCAGAATCTTCTACAACATTGTTGCAGAACTCTGTAGAATCTTCAGCAAACCTCAAAACCATTGTTTGAAGCATTGGACCTGTGTAAATTCGTATCACTAGTTCAAAAATCGCCTTCAAACTTGAAAGTACATGGTATTTTTCATGACTTAGTACCTCTTATAGTGATCAACGGATTCTGAAATCATTAGCAATGGATTCAGCAAGGATGGAAACCACTACAACCATCAGTTCGATTGAATATCTCTGCTTTTTCTTAGTATTCCGGATACTATAGCATTTCTGCCCACTGTGCGGCAGGTGAGTGGCAGGGGAGATACGGGTGTAGGTCGAAAACTAATCATTGAAATATCACTAGGGGACAACATTTACTTGATTTCACCACAAGAAACCAAAATATTTTGGGGGCGAGAACATGATCTTATCCGTCCTTGTTTTTCCACATAAAAAAAATGTGTTGCTATATATTTAGTCTGTTTTTCTATGTGGTTGATCAATAATTTTATTTTTTTTCTCTTTTGATTCTAGCAAAACACAAAACAGAATTCGGCAGATGGTGAAGTTAATTTCTATTGGAAATATAAAGCGAACGAATGCTATGCTAAAAGACAAGAAGCCGAAGAGGTTCAAGAAAGACTTGACAATCTTTCAAACAGGTGACCGAATGAAAATGCACGTCATTATCAGATTCAATCTCTTTCTGTATTTTAGTGTGACCGATGGAAAACGAGATATGGATGCTGTACGAAAATCTTTACGACAAATTAACGATCGCGTTTTTTCCTTAGAAAAAATGATGATCGATTCACATATATTACTTGAAAAACTTCATGCGGCAATGTATCAGCAAGATAAACCATTACCTAAAAGTCAAAAATGTTCTCATGTTCTATCACGTGAATCACCCTATGTCTATACTAATGAAGCTCGGTTTTCCGTTACTGAAAAACACATTCCATGGAAGGTAAACTGTAGTTCTCTATTAACTATTTTCAATTTGTCAATATTTACTGCATTTTTAGCTTCCATTCGATCTCTATGATCCTACATTGATTACATTACCGAAAGAGCACATTTGCTTTCGAGACGATGAACGTCCATTTGTCGAACCTAATTTGTGAGTGTCACTGTGTATGTTTTTGTACACTACTGTATTTGATTAGGTTGAAATTGAGTTCGATAGAAGATGAATTACAACCGGCTCTCGATACGTATGTTATATTCATAATACGTAGAAATTAATCAGCTTGTTTTAGAGTAATTGAACCGCCGCTGATGTCAATCGTCTCAAACGATTTTATAATTCCAGCATTAGAGTACAAATGGAATCACGTTGTCGAATTACAATTGCCCGATGGGAAAAAAGTTGTTTGCTTCTTAGAGAATGAATATCATATAATTGAATGATAAATTTGTATAGATGGTGATCGATCG